GCAGCTTCTGCTTTTTGTATCTCCCCATGATCTTGCAGGAAAATGATATGGTGGGATACAGTACTTATAGAAGAGTCAAGATAAGGCAGTGCTTTGTCACATTGCCTTTTGCTATGGCAAGTTCACAGTTAGCTTACCCTGCATCCCTGCTTAAGAAAGCCTCATCTGTCAATACACCCTCTGCTTTTCTTTCCAAAGCAACCATTATAACAGGTTTGATGGGATCTCATGCTTAGATTGTGCCAGACAATTTGTTTTGATTTAGAAATAATCCAGATCTTTCTGCAAGCATTTTACTTGCATTCTGAAGCTCTGCACACTTCTGATATTGTGGATCTGAAAGACTGCTTCGCAAACCTCAATCCACTATTTAATATATGTAAAAATCTATTACTGACATCTAAGGGTAAAAGGCAAAGCCACACTTAGTCTCATGGATTGAGTAGGAGTTTTGATTGTATTTTGATATAGTATCTAAACGAGAGGCAAAATTAAGGTTTTTCTACACTGAAATCTCATCTCTGAGGAATTTATGGATTTTCAGTATATTGCAGAATTGTCTTCTAGTAGAGTCTGCATCAAACTTGCATACTGATTTGCATCTAAAAAACCAGGAAGATGATGAAGGTATGTAAATAATGAATTACAGCAAAAAAAAAAGTACAACATTGACAAGTAAGACTTGTTAGATAAGTTCTGGCTAGCCAGTGTAAGCTGCAAGCAATCCTAACATCAAGATATGCATCAATATTTGTGCTTGTGTTCAAGGAGGTAGTCCTGGAAGTGCTGGCAAAAGCATGTAAATCATGCCCCACCTTGGGAATATTCATACAGGGAATGCACAACGTTGTCTGGAGAAAAATTAATTTTAAAATCAACAGTGAAGGTTATAAACAACTTCTGTTCCATACGCTTCCTTCTCCAATTAGTGAGCTTTGTTTTCATAGAATTACTGAATGGTTACTGTTGGAAGGGACCTCCAGAGATCATCTGGTCCAACCTCCTGCTCAAGCAGGGTCACCTAGATCTGGGGACCCAGAATGCTGAGCTTGCAACCTCAAGCTTCTGTTTGTGAAGGGCAGTGACACAGAGCTATGATTTTGAAAATTATTACAAAAAGTGGAATGTTTGGTAAACAAGGTGGCTTCATGTTGCAGAGCTGAATGTTCCATGGTATTTTTGGAGATGTGCAAGATGACTTTGTTAGAACTAAACTATCAGTGCTGTTCAGTAATTTTTAATGTAAATATAAACACTCAGCATTCAAGAACTAGAAGATAGATATTTGTGTAGCTTTATCTGGTTTGCAAGATCTGTTTGCAACAGTATGTGTAACGTGTAATGTTCCAGAAATAATCAGATAAAACCAGACAAGCAGAACACCTCCTTTCAAATGGTTGGCTTCCCCTTTGATAATCCTATCATAAATACTTTAAGAAGTCTGTAATGAATTCACCCAGCATGAAAAGAATATTTTTCTAATAATGCAGGGGCTGTACTCAGGGATGGACACAAGACTCCAGTGAGATCCCAAGTCAAACTCCTGCTGAAGATGCAAAGAACTGAAACTACAGCATCTTAGAGACCCCATAAGCATTCCTTTTATACAGACCACAGCGATTCCATCCTGCTGCCTCGTGGACTTGACATCAAACAGATGAAGTTTTGTGTTTTTTCTCATCCTCAGTTTTGCAGTTAGTAACACAGGGAAGTAATGACTAAATTTAAACCATACGCTGAGTAGGATGCAAGAGATAAAGTTGCTCATGAAAAGAAGGCAGTGGATGTAATCTTTCTGGATTTTAATAAGGCTTTTCATACCACTTCTCACAGCATCCTTCTGATTAAATGGTCCAACCAAGATATGCAGGTTTCTGCTACATTGGTGGCAAACTGGCTCAACAGCAGAACTTACAGGTTATAGTAAGTGGGACTGTACCTGGCTAGTGACCAGTCAGTAATGGTATGCTTCAGGGCTCAATTCTACGTTTTTATCATCATCTTGGGGGGTTAAATGCATCTGTATCAAGTTGAATAATAATTCTAAACCAGGAAGTGTTGGGAGTATTGGCTGATCCTCAGCATCACAAAGTTCACCACAGGTAAATGCTGAGTTCTGTGTCTGGGTCAGAGTATTGCTGGGCACTGGGACATCCTGGGAGCCGAGCGGCTGGAGAAGAATCCCTTCAGGAAGGGAGCTGAGTGTGCTGGTGACAGCTGGCTCAGTGTCCCTTGGCAGTAAGAGGGCAAATGGCATTTTGGAACACAGTAAGGTGTCCCAAAGGTGCAGCACGAAGGGTGAGACTGGTATCCAGAAAAATGTCCTTATCGTGAGAGTGGTCAAACAGTGGAACAGATTTGCTTGCGAGGTAGGCCTACCGGCTGTGATCAGCATAACCAGTTGACAGAGTGTTTGCAGGATCTGACCCATTCTACTCTATTTTGGAAGAGAGGACTTCTAGTGAATTTAAGATGAACTATGATTCAGATAGTTGTATGTAACAATTCAGAAGGGTAGATCTGGAATAGATGCAGAATCTCAATGTTAAAGGAAAAAGAGGCAGAAGAATGAGAGGCATTCACTAGGACGTCCTGCTCTGGCCAGGGATGCTTGTCTTTTCACAGCTGAACTCCTTGCTCCTTGTCATTTTTCCAAAAATCTATCTTCATGATGGTGTCCTTATGCTGTGTGATATTCTTTCTGGAAAAAGACAAAAAAAAGAAAGTTTGAAGATTGCCTCATTTTACACAAGGCAGAACACATGGACTAGAATTTTCCACAGCACTTGATTCCCTCTGGGCTAGCTACATTTTCTTTGTTTTTTTTTTTTTATTCCTTAAATACATGCACTGCAGTAGCACTAGTGTGCTCCACATAAGCGCCTTAGCACTGCTGTGCAGGAGCAGTGGTCTGGAATACTTCCTGCATTGTGTATGCTGAGTCCGTAGAATCTCAATGGAGATGTGAATATTGTGGTGACAGTCATCCTCATGTATTTTTTCAGGTTGTGGTTATTAACCACTCGCATTCTATAAGCCATAGAGAGAGGTCTATGTCTGAATATGCATCACGCAGCTGCTAACAATGTGTAGGCTGGACTGGGTTGTTCCTGCTTCCAGAAGTGCTAGACTGTCTCTATAATTGAAAGTGTTAGCCTTGTGTGTCAAGTTAGATAAGAGGCACTAATAACAATTAGCAAAATAAAAAGTTTCACTGGCAGGCAAATTAATAAATAAAGATGACTGCTGAATCTAACACCATCAAAACAACCAGCCCACAGCAGGGAGACTGGAGTCAGATGATGTTTAAGGTCTGTAGGCTTGTAAAGGGGGCAGCAACCATAGGGAGAGGGACACTGCTATTCTTCACTCAAATTCTATGCTCGAAAACCTTTTTTTTGTGATTAACTCATTTCTGAGAAAGCAATCTCCAGTCCTTACTGTGGTTTGTGTGTGTGTACCTGAATCAGCTGTAAGCTATATCTACTTGAAGTATCAGAGCAAGTGAAGGATTTAGGTTATCTTGTAGATACCCAGGGCTCAGTTAACATTAAGCCATTAAAATTGGTGCTGCCGTTATTAATACCTGAGCTAACGAGTATAGATATATGTGCAAATCCAGTTTTCTGTTAGGCTTCAGACCATTGTGTTTTGTATGAATTGCTGAAGATGTTTGTAGGTTTTGAACTTCTTTTTAAACAGTTGTCAGAGATGTTTCTGAACAGGCTAAATTTATGTATTTTTTTGCTTCTGGATCATCTGACATCCTTATCAGAGTGGTTTAATTTTCTATATCTGTAAGAGAAGAATCTGGGAGTCTTGTTTTTGCACCCTATTGTTTCCATGTAATTTGATCTGCTGTTTTCTGAGGTCTGTAGGGAATAATCCACTCACAGAGAGTTCTCGGGATGAGAAGGGCCTGTTCAGTGCCATGCTTGGTATTAGTTTTATTTCAGCGACTTCAGATCTTTTGTTCCAAATTCCTGTGAGGACACGTTGCATATATCCTCTCAACCATTCTCCTCACCTACCTGCTGTGTTTTCACCTTCTCTCTAAATTCAATCTTTGTAATAGCTCTCTTCCAGAGGATACTGACTGACTGATGGGAATACGGCTAAATGTGAGCTTTGTGCTCTTAAGTGCCCAAAACAGAGGCACGTTCTTTTTCCTAAATTTATATTAAAGTTAAAGGACAGAAGGCAACAAAGTTCCTGTTGTGTCCCGATGCCTGAGGTTAATGTCAGAAGTCCAGTATACTTGATGCCATGCTGAGGTTGACCTGCACAGCTGTGTGTTCGTGACCAAGATTGCTTGGGGACATATCCCTTGTGCGTTCCCATCTCTCCTGTCTGTGCACTGTCTGCAGCTGAGCATTATGCTCCTGTGGTCTCACTTCTGCTGTGCTGGGTCCTATGCTGTCAGACTTCTCAGTGCACTTAGCTACAATAAAATGATGGAAGCTACTGACTGCATTGTTTGTTTGTTTTTACCTTGTACCTGTAGTCTTTGGGAATGATATCTAAACGTGGCAGATTTTGAAACAAAGTTAACTTAGATGGGCTTTCTTCTGTATTAGTCAATCTGTTTGACTACTTCAGGGCAAGTCAGCCAAATCCAGGAAGGAAAGAGAAGAGGGTCATGTTTATCTCTGTTGCTCAGTAATGGCTTAAAGCTCAGGCAAAGATACAGCAATGAGCATTTGATTAAAAATTTCAAAGCCTTAGATAGCTTGCAGCTCTGGATGAAATCTGCTTTGCTTACTTTGTAGTGATTGGTCTGATTTTACCCCCGCAGATAAGCAGTTTGTACCCTGAATCAACAGCTTTTATTTAAGCAAAGAAAACATGGCTTTGCTTATGTTTTCTTTTTATACGTTTTGTTGAATTGCTCTGTCAAGTTGTGAAATGTGACTAGGTTTTGTCTTTGAGTGGGAATGTTACAGACAAGTGACGTTTGCTTCAGTGCACGCGTTGAGCACTTTCTTGCGCTTCTTCCATAGTCTGAGGCACGTGTTGTCTTCCCATGTGTGGGCAGCCCAGAGCATGGCTGGCCCAGGTGGGTGTCTCCAGCAGACCTTCTGTCTCTGTGGATCAGAACGTGGTCCCAGATGTCTCCAGTCCCTTGTGCTCCCACTGCTTCTCGACAGGCGAAGTCAGCATGTACTGCCTATGCTGATGGAACTGCCAGGTAAAACTCCTTACTGCAACACAGCCAGCTTTATAACTGCAATGTAGACATAATCTCATTAACCATTGCATGTCTGACATCAAGCATTACAGAAATAAGAAGACTTATAAATGTAATCACTCTCTAAAATCACTTAAGATGAGGGCGAGGGTCTATCTGAATGTTGAGCTTTCAGCTGTGATGACACTTGGACAAGTTGTAATTTCTTTCTCATTGTTTCAGTAAATATAAATATGATGCTGAATGCAAAACTGAAGACTGAATTTTGACTTTAGTATCTTCAAATATTTGGTCTCAATCCAGGTTTATGGCAAATCCTATTTACTGTCTTCAGGGACTGCAAAATAGAAAAACGATTTTGATTTATCTCATAACAAACTTTTTTTCCCAATGGTAATTAAGGCTAAAGATTCTCACTGATGTAATCCCCATCAGGATGGTAGGACTGCTTGTATAATTCAGTTCTCTGAAAGAGGTTTTCAGAATAGGAAAAAAAAATACTCTTAGATGAGAACTATCACATGAGCAGTATTATTACTTTGAATTACCAAGTGAACATAATGGACAACAATTTTCACAGATCATCTGGTTGATATACAGTTTCTGGAGAAAAACACTTGAGGCATTTTCTAGATCTTTATGACCGCACACATCACTTTCAAAGCAGATTTACTTTATTGCTTCTTAACAGCTATTTCTTCTATTGAAGTTTTAACAGATTCATCGTGTGAATGCAGATGTGTGAAAAACAGTCAAAAATCTGCGAAGAAAAACTTTCAGAGTGACATTCAGTCAGAACTGGTAGAACTATCATTGCCTTTTACTTCATTATTCTTACGCAGTACTGAAGGAACTGAGTTTAACCGTGCTTTGCAAAGCAGTCAGGACTGAAAGTCTTACCTGCTCGTAGGAGGCTCCAAAACTGGAAAAGGTCATTAACAGGCGGTAAGTAAATGCAGCCTGCTTACGAGTTATCTCCTTTTCCTGTGCCCAATATGCACTTCTCTATTAGAATTAATTGCTTATTCTTCATTAATAGAACACATTTTATTTAGCTTGCACCTTTTTAAATACTGTCAGTTAATGAAAATCCTGCAGTTATCCTGGTGCTTGTCCCAGAGCAGCACGCTGGAAAAGACTGCTTTTCTGATAACAACTTTTGCAGTGACTCTTGCTTGTTCAGACTTTATTTATAAGGCATCTTCCTACAGAAGGTTCTGCATCAGATTATAGGAATGTACTTCAACACGTCTATAATCTTACGGTCCTGCACTCTGTTTGCTCCTTTGGAGTTAACACTGAGCCATTTCAGTGAAGCCAGGCAGCAGGAGGAGAGTACTTATCTAAATTTCCAAAGGTTTCACTGAACAGAGAACTCACACACGAGTTTCAACAGTCTAAAAGAAGAAAGGCTATTGGTATTGGCTACTATTGGTAATAGATAAATGAGATTGATCAAAGTAGTTCTGATTAAATACAACTATGAAGTCTGCCATTGAGTTTTGCAGGTGTTCTCCTTTAGTTGTGTAACCTGATAATTAAAGTTTTTAGGTTTATAATGTGTAGTAATTCCTATTCATAAATAATAATTTCTGCTGAATTTCTGATTTAAAGTAAATGCTTGTGCATTGCCTTTAACTTCTGTTTGCATGTAAACCATAGACTGAAAAGCCTGTATAGAAAGCAGAAAAAAAATGTGGCGTTACTGTGTTTTTAAAAATACTATAGTGTATGTATGTGCTGAGTTCTTATATTCTCATTAGAGATATGCAATTGGAATGGCATTATGAAATACAGCATACTGAAAAATCAATATAAAGACAAATAATGCCAAAAATCAAGCACAAATCAAGACCTCTCTTGCTGCTGTTCTTTCATTGTTGCTTTTGTCATGTGATTTTAACAACACCCAACAACTCTGAAGTGGTAGGACTGATTTATGTTGGAGGTGTTTAAAATTTTACTCTATTTTGAACAGATCCCTTCAGCTTCTTATGGACCTTTTCCTTCCTTAGTGCTTCCCTCCCTCCAGCCCAAGGTGCATTCGCTCTCCAAGCCACGGGAGAACCTGGCTTTTCCTTGCCAGCTCCTATTGGCTTATATGGCAGCTCTTCTACAGCAGTTGCAGTGAGCTGCGCCAGCCACCAGCTCCTGTAGGTGTGCAGCATTCCTACTCCTGGGGCAGCTCTCATGCCACACATGGAACAGCCTGGCAGGAAAGCTTGGCCATCCCAGTTTTCAAAGCAGTTTAAGAAAATCTGCTGTCCCAGCTGGGTATTAGTGCTTATTAACAAAATTAGAAAAAAAAACAACCAGTGTACACAGTGTACAATTCAAGCTTTTCTCTCTACCCAACTTACCTCCTGGCTACACTCTTAGTTACAAACAGAAATGAAATGTATGTCTGTGCTGTGTCTGATAGTAGAATTTCTCTTAATTTCTAAGTACCACAGAACTCTAATTTGAAGCTTTGTTGCTGGGGCCATGAGTTAGCCTGAGATATGAACGGGTTAGAATGCAGTTTCCCTTGCCAAGTTTACGGCTGCTATGGTAGTCCAGCGTTAATCTTTTCAGGGCAGTCCTCCTTCAGTCAGACAGGAGCTTCCCCCTCTGCTATACTCCCAGCAGTGCAAGATGTGGGGAAGATCACTCCATCCTCACTGCTGACAACAAGAAAGTTTGGTTCTCACTGTGCTGGAGGTCAGGAAATGATCAGGCAAACATTTTGGTTTTTCCCACTGAATAGGAATGGTCTGCTTTCAGCACTGCTAGTAACTGCTACAGAGGGAGGGAACCAGTATCTGCCATAGCTGGCTCTTATTACGAAGACACAGCATTGGCTGCAGCTGGAGAGAGGCAGGAGATTGCCAGCAGAGAAGGGCAGAAGGCACTCCAAGAGATTCCCTTGTGTATCCCTCTTCCCATATTGTTTCGTGGACCCTTACCAGAAAGCAGAAGCATGAAGAGTTTGCTTACATTTGTTTTCTGCTTTTAATCTTGAATGTTCTTTACAGATTAAAAACTTCATTATTATCCAATATTATTTTCATTAGCGAGGAGGAAAAGATGGATGTATTTAGAGCACTTGGAAATGAGACGCTGTTGTCCAATTCCTCTGGTCCTGCTCGATGGGATCCCTTCCACCGTCCTTTGGACTCCATCCAGCCCTGGCACTTCAGGCTTGTGGCAGCAGTGATGTTCGTGGTGACCTCCCTGTCTCTTGCTGAGAACCTGGCTGTGATCCTGGTAACTTTTAAGTTCAAGCAGCTGAGACGACCTGTCAATTACGTTATAGTGAATTTATCTGTGGCTGATTTCCTGGTCTCACTGACTGGTGGCACCATTAGCTTTTTAGCCAATCTAAAAGGCTATTTCTATATGGGGCACTGGGCTTGTGTACTGGAAGGATTTGCTGTCACTTTTTTTGGTAAGCTTAATATTGTTTGTAGTTGTATCTTGTTTTCCTTCAGCTTCCTTCAATGCGTTTCACTATCCTGCAACTTCCTAAATCACTGACCTTGCATGCCTGTGAATGCACTGGATCTTTTCCAGTTATGTGTGTTCTGTGGAGGATCTCATATGAGTGAATAATGCGTATCACTGTTGCTGTCATATGTCACCTTTTACTGCTTCTGTACTGTTCTCTGAATATAGCTCATATAATGAGAAAAAAAAAATGCTAAAAGAATGGCAGTAGTTGCAGGGAAAACAATGTGATTTTAAAAAAACAGACACTTAATTGTTTAATTATTTTCCAGGTTTGTCTCTTGGTGTGTGAGTATTTGGTTAAACAAGAGAGAGAGAACAAATGGCTGTTCTTAAACTATGGACAATATTATGTCACTAAAACATCTTATGTTAGCTGAGGAGCCATGCTGTGACTGTGGCTGCCACCCCCCTTATTTGCTTTTCCTGTGATTCTTTTCTCTTGGCTTTGTTTTCCAAGTATGCAAAACATATTGAAGTACTCTAAAAGGGAAAATAAATCATCACCAGGTAGTTCACTTTGTAAATATACCTCTACAGGATAAACAGAAAATTAGTTTTAAGTGGAACATCTAATTACATCGACATGCAAGTTCATTCTTACCTCCCACAGGGCTTTTTGTGTTGCTGCCAGCTGACATTTCTGTGCTGTTTCAGAAGCTGTATAGTAAAGCCATTCTTCTAACTCTGTCACTTCTCTGAGTCAAATGCATTGCTGATCCTCAGCTGAAAAGGAATTCCGCTTTTGCTCTCAGGCTGATGAAGCTGCCCAGAAAAGTTTACTGTGGGAGATGATGGTACTATGATGGTTTGTGGCATGGAAGGCATGTCCTGTGGAGTAAGATCAGACTATTTCAAGATTTTGGTGATCACTGGATCAGTTTGGATCAGATTCCAGTTTGGTTGAACTGGAAAGTTGAAATGAGAAATGAAAAAGAACCTGACTGGATGTAGTCCTGGGCAGCCTGCTGCGTAGATCCTGCTCGAGCCGTGTCAGACTGGACTGGATAACCTCCAGGGATGCCTTCTGACCTACATGATTCTGTGACTGCAGTGTGGGACGAGGTTTGCTTTTCAGTAAGCCTATTTGATTTTGATGCTGAGTTTTTTCTGTAGGCATTGTGGCTCTCTGGTCTCTTGCTCTTCTGGCTTTTGAGCGGTATGTCGTGATCTGCCGCCCACTGGGAAATATGCGCTTGAGAGGGAAGCATGCTGCCCAGGGAATTGCCTTTGTGTGGACCTTTTCCTTCGTTTGGACCATTCCACCAACCATGGGTTGGAGCAGCTACACCACCAGTAAGATTGGAACTACCTGTGAGCCTAATTGGTAAGGCCATCCTTGCAGAATGTGGCAGAGTTTAAACTTGTAGCTCATGACTTGTTAAGGGCACAGTTCCAAAGGAGAAGGTTAAGGATGATGGTCTTCTCTGCCAAAAAAGAGGTAGGCAAAGATGACAAGAAAAGTTTCTGGGGTTAAAAATATTTTCTCAAACATTTTCCTGAAAAGAGGAGCTTTCATCTCTAATGGAAGTAACTGTTCCATATGTGGGATTTGTTTGTTTTTGTCAGGATTCAAAGAGAAAAAATAGATTTTCAGAAGACTGGATGAAGCCCTGAGCAGTTTGTTTTAGCAGCATAGCTGACTGCTCTTTGAGCAGGGGGTTGGACTACACGTTTCTTCCCACCTAACTCACCCCATAGTTCTTTTGGTTCTGTGCCCATGATTTTCACAGTAAATCTTCCCTAGCCCAGAGGAAGGGAGATCGCCATGGGCTGTCTCTGTGATTTGACTAAAGCTGCATGTGGGTATTTTGATTAAAAACAATTGATGAAATTACTAGTGACATCTCTGACCACTTTGAGAAAATAACCACGATATATACATGATGTGTTCTGTGTTTTATACAGGTATTCAGGAGCTTATAATGATCGTTCCTACATTATTGCATTCTTCACCACCTGTTTTATAGTGCCTTTATTGGTAATTTTGGTATCCTATGGGAAACTGCTGCAGAAGCTAACAAAGGTAAGAAGAAGCACTTTCAAGTTACGTTTTCGAAATGGGTATGTATGCAAGCACTTGGAATTTTCACATGTACATTACCATAAGGATCAGACATAAGCAGACCTGTTTCCAGGCAGCAAATGTACTCACTTATGTCTTGATAAAGAATTATTTTTGCACTCATTTTTATTTTTTAGCTTAAAAAATGAAAAGTAGATCCTGGAGGCTGTGCAAAGAGCAGCTTAAAATGAGGGCTGAGTGTTCCCAGTGTCCTGTGAGAGATATTGTGTGTTTTTGTAGATACCTTCACCCAAAAAAAGGGGGGAAAAAAACGAACGGGAGTTACGCATTTGTTTTTGTTAAGGATTTCTCTTTTTTTCAATTTAAAACTGAGAAAATCAAATAGTGCAATGTTGATAACAGCTGTTCAGAGTTCAGTTAAAAACAAACAGGCTGGGGGAAAAAAAAAAAAAAAGACCAAACAGTAATAAGGATCATCTGGTCCTTGATGTGATGCTGCAAGCACTTCTTTCTCTTGTGCTCTAAGTTACATCTTAGTCACTTAGTGCACTTTGCATCCAGGACCATCGAGGGCAGGGCTGCAGACCCCTGAGGCTGCCTGGTAGAGCTGTGTGTTGCACCTGCCAGGGCTGCAGGCAGGTATTGGACTGCTCACCATAATCACCTGCCCAGGTGTTACACCAACAGTGGGCTACGTGTGACCCTGCTGAGCAAGACTTGTGACTGAAAATACCGCTGCAAATTACAGAAATGTATGTAGCACTACTAAAACACAGAAAAAGAAGTAGGAGAATTAATAAACTAGTTCAAATAAAAGCATGAAGGCTGATGGAGGACTAAAATAAGCAGGAAAGAATCAAACTTCCCCCTTCCTCCTTTCCATCTTGCCTGGAGGATCAATGCAGTGCAGAACCAGTAGTAATTATTCTTTCAACAGTCTTTATACATCATTTTTAAATGCACCTGTGTTCAGGACTCTCATTTAGTATTATTGACAGATAAGCAGCTGTTCTGTTTCTTTCCAGAGATGACAACACTTCTGCTGAAAAGGAGGCTGGGTTGCCCTCTACTTAGGTAGCGTGTTTATGAAGAAGTGCTATAGAAGTGCTATATGTTTTTTGGATTGGGAATATCTTATATTTGCTCAGCACCTGACAGCCTTCACTGATCCCTGACAACTTGTACATATGATCTCATCATTATCGATTTCCACTGTATTCACTCTTTGAATGCCTTGTTTGTTTTCTGGAATTCTCTGTCTTTTAAGGTGTCAGATACACAAGGCAGGTTGAGAACTGCCAGGAAACCTGAAAGACAAGTGACTAGAATGGTGGTTGTTATGATCATTGCTTTTCTCATCTGCTGGATGCCATATGCCACCTTGTCTATCCTAGCCACTGCATACCCTTCCATTGAACTGGATCCTCATCTGGCAGCAATTCCATCTTTCTTTTCCAAAACGGCTACTGTTTATAATCCAGTTATTTATGTCTTTATGAACAAACAGGTACTGTATGCTCTCAGAGTGTCTTTAAAGTTTATATTTTTAGTATTTAGTATTGTTTTGTAATGAATAGTTTCTCTCCACCTTATCAGTTAACCAGCATTTCATATCCATAATTTAGATTTTTTTTTCATCACTACATGTCTACTTAATGCATAGAGTTTTGTGCTGTGTTTCAGTATTAAAATATGAATACTAGTAATCATTAGATTTAGGTATTGGAAAACAAAATCAACTCTTAGTGAACATCAACTATTCTAGTTTTCTGTGAGAAGACTCTATTTCCAAGACTATCCCATTATGTTTCCTTAGTTATTTTGGAATGCAGTGCCAGCAAATTGCTTCTGAGGTTCATCAGGGGAAATGCTGCATCTATGGTTGTGTGTTCAGAGCAACTTGCAGCATTGCTTGTCCCTGGGTGACGGGGTCTTCCCTGGAATGGGGTCAGAGAAATGGGTGCAGAGAAGTACTGACAGGGGAGGAGCCAGAGGTAGCAAGTATGTTAGAACCTTGAACAGATATGTGCTGTGAATGTAGGAGGGCGTGGCATCAAACAGAGTACTGGGGTATAAAGGCAAAGAACTAGAATATCAAAGTGAAGGTTGAATGTGAAGTGATGAACGCATTTATTGATTTAGTCCTGCAGTGACAAACAACTATTGGTTGTCCCACATCCTGTCGGCAGTACCCTGATCTCCCAGTGCATGGCAGATGTACGCTCGTCTTAACCTGCTCAAGGATATGAATGTGATGGAAACAAACCGTCATTGAATATCTAGGTATTAGCATATGAATGCAACTTGTGAGCCTTCAGAAATGACCAATTCAATTCAATTAGATGTGGCTAGCAACAAGCATAAGAGGAAAATGATTTTTTAGACTGAAGCATTCTAGCAGTTTGTGTCTTTTCAAATTCTCAGTTCTCTGTGGTGCCACAGGTAAATGTATTTTATGGAGCTATTTCTGTATATGACCAATGGACACAGACAATTTCCAAGACTTTTAGTGAAGACAGAAAAAAGTAGGAAAATGTTTTTAAATTCCTCATGTGTTTTGATTTTTCTTGTTTGTTGTTTCAACTTTCAGTTCAGGAAGTGCCTGATACAGATGTTCAGGTGTAGTGCCATAGAGTCTGCAGAGTCCAACATGAGCCCAACTTCAGAGAGAGCAACACTCACCCCAGACAAAAGGGGCAGTCAGTTGTCTACCATGGCAGTATGAAGCACCATTTCTTAGAGGAAAAATGGAGATGAACACAGAAATTGCATTTATTTTGCTCAGCTGACAGCTTCAGGAAACAAGATTTGTCTCTTGCAGAAGGTAGATATGATCATTAATGTAATACAGCAGTGTGTTTCCTCATTACCCCATCACTTCATACTAAAGATGTCATTGGGGCCATTGTGCTCTGTCTCATAGACACTAACTTTGAGATTCTGAGCTCCCAAGTGCATATAAGAGCTGCTTGGCTGTGCAGTTGCAGTTGAAGACCAACCAGAAAGTGAGTTCCTTTCTCTGTGTTTGTCTCAGCAATAATACTTGACCCCTGGTGTAAAACAATGGAAGCCCAGCATTACTGTGCTGACACATAATACAACAAAGAAAAGAGTTTCATTGATGACTGCGCCTTAGTCAGCTGGGCAAAAATATGAGGTGATGCATGGCTTCAGTACGTTAATGGAAAATGAGTAATACTTAGCACACAGCTGACTCAAGCTCAACCACACAGAGGTTCATGGAGACACAGGCTTGAGTGCCTTTTGATTTGTTCGGAAATTTTTCCTAAAAAAGCAGAGGAAGCATGAGGTCTCTGCACTTATGTCTATCCCAGGTGAGAACCTCATTCGGGCCACTAAATTTTCCAACACCGTGGATGAGCTATGCATACTTCCAAGGACTTTGTTATTAAGAGCCATTCATATTCTTTATGTCCTCTGTGCCAAGAAATCTGTACTAGTGGCAACTTTGAAATAAATCAACTAATGCCATCCTTTAGTGTGTGGGGGGGGTGACAATCTTGTACCTATTTGTCAATTCTCTTTATTAGAGAAATTTAGTTGCAAGGTATAGCAGAGTATAATACTTACAGAGTATTCTTAAAATAACTAATTTGTTTAATTTTATTTACACGATGCTCTTTGTCTTAATGCCAGATTAGAAAAAACAGATAAAATTCGGATTATTTTCTTAGTAGAAAGGTTGTTCATGTTCCCTGATTTCATTTTAGAAGGGTTAGATCTAAGAATGGGAGTTACTCTACAAATTACTTGAGCTGCATGTGTGAGAATTCATTGCAAGCCACCTGTGGTTCTGATACTCATCAAATCTCATTAGATAGTTGGCTTTTGCAATATAATTTTAACCTCCGTAAACTTGAATTTTCACAGTGCTCAATATTAAACCCAAACTATAAACCTCATTATGAAAGCTACATCTTTGCACAATTCCTGTTCTTTACCACTAAGTCCATGTTATCTACATCAGAAAAGTCAATACATGTATAAGGCTCTTAGGTTTTTTCTTTTAAATATTCTAAGACAGGAGAGTTAAGACACTGAGTTATTATTTGTGTGCACATTTTGTGTTCATTGGTTTGTTTTTAAAAAAAGAATCATTGCATTTAAGACTCACATTTTCTCTTTCAAGCATACTTTGACCTAGGTTAATCACACAGTAATGGTATGAGACATATTAAATCATGAGGAACTGGCAGTAGTGTTAATATTTAATTAAAAGCAACAGAAGTATTTTATGTCCTGAGAGTTTGAGGAAATGTATTTTTCTGTACATATGAAAGTAAAGCATCAAAACGTAAGTATCGAAAAAGAAAGGCACAACATGAAGATGCATGGAAAACCTAGGAAAATAATAAGTTAAAATTGTTTTTGCAATGTGATTATCATCTGTGATTCAGAATCTGGTGACACAACACAGCCAGCCCTGGCAGCACAGGTGGAAGCAATTCACCTGTGAGACCAGAAGGGGTGGATCCTGGCTCCACCTCTCCCTACTCTCATTTAAGGGCTGGCAGCCAGAAAGGAAGGGTCTCTATGGAGAGATTACCTCCTTTGGAGTGTTGGGTGAGCCCTGATCCTTGGAAAGGGGTAAATGTTTCCTCTATCAGTTGGCTGTGACTGCTACCTTTCTTGGGTGATCCAAAACCAGTTGAAGGCAATTATATCTGTTGCTACTTATCATTTCATTATTATTTATCTTTATCATTCTAATACAAGTTACTCATCATGAAGTTGTATGGGTGAGTCTTTTAGAGTATTGCACCAAGGAGAATATGGGTTGTTTCTATAAGTTGTGATCAGCAGTTTGTAATCAAGGCAATGTCTCCACTAACACACTCAGTACATAAATAGATGGTGTGAAGTTGGCTGTGGGTCACATTTCCATTGTGCACGGTGAAGTGGATAGTCTGACATGAGGCTTTGGATTACTGCACTCAAAACATCAAAAGGGAAGATATTCATAGAGCAACTTTAGGGCAATATTCACATTTCAGCCAGAGAGCAGGCAAACAACTTTGGCTAGTTGGTGAGGAATAGAGAACTGCAGTACAAAGGGAAAAGAAAGGAACTGTGAAATTACATGAGACTGAACTAAAAAGTCACGACACTGAGCCCTTCCTCCTTTTGGCTCATTGTAAGTGCTAGAAAGAGAAGGCAAGGTTCTCTCCAGCTCATATAGAGGAGCCCTTAATATATATATTATAACCACCTGGATCCCTCCAGTCAGAAACCCTGAACTACTATCATGCAATTTTTACTTACAGTTTTAGCTTCTGTGAGAATATCTGTTCAAAGAAGGAATGAATATGGCTTCCCAGAGTACAGGAGACTGTCTTGCTGTGGATGATATCAGGTTGATGGGAGAAAAGAGGAGTAGCAGCCATGGAAAAATCTCAGGAGAGATGATCAGAAAAACAGTTTTGGATATAGAATGTTGAAAATAATTGTGAAACACGCAGACCAGAGGCTGGCTGAAACAAAGGGTTAGGAAATATGGAGATATATTAGAAATAAAAGCCAAGATTTGTATAGTCTTAATGTATGAACCCACAGGAGTGGAGGCTTATGTTATGCAGGATAAAGAAGACAGTGAAACAAGAGACATGCTTGTGTCCTGAGCAGACAGGTCAAGTATTGAATACTGAGGAAAAACAGCAGGGTATGATGGTAGGATGGAAAACATTAACAGTACCATGAAAGATAAGTGGAAAATACAATCTGGAACACTGAGTTTATAGATGTTACAGCACTTGCTGAGAAGCAATTTGTCAGGATTAAAAAAGGGGTGAAAGTCTGACAGGGGAAAGTGGAATTTGAGGCGTAGAAGTAGGGCACGGTACATGAAGTGCCACTAATTACCAGGAAGTGAAAGACATGAGATGGTGGCTGGAAGCGGTGGTATTCCCCAGCAGCTTTCTGAAGAGATCTAGTTTATCACTGTTAGGGGAAGTAAGGAGCAAAGCAGAAGAAATTGAAGCAAAGAAAACGTAGAAGAGAAATAGAAGCAAGCGCTCATTCAGTTCATCATGAATTAAAAGTTAAACATAGCTAAGCAAGATCTAAGTTATATGCAAGGGCTCATCATCTACAGCTGCATTCCTTGTGTGAAGCTCTATCTTGTGTTCTGCATGTAACTTGTGGCCTAGCTACCACTGCTAACATTTGATTGCACTCCTTTCACGCCAGTTCCTCTAGAACTTTAATAGTTTACATTTACAGTTGTCTTATATCATCTTATCTCTATATTAGACAAGTGCTTTGACGTGCAGCAAGCATAGATGTAAAAATGTAGGCTGCAACAGAATGACATGAAAATTAGCTCTTCTAGGAAAACAGGAAATTAATATTAGAATCTAATTAATTCTTCTTTCATGTGGAGAATCAATTAGACTTAATAGGACCATGGAGGCATCACAGATGTTTTCTTTCCATCAAATGAAGCCTACACTGAACCACCACTAATTAATCATTCTGATAAAGCTCAGTATCAGCAGTTCTCACTGTCTGTAACTCTTTTTTTTTTTTTTTCTTTCCCCACTTCCCTGCAAGTATTTTCTATCAAGGGCAAGGTTTTGTTTGGTTTATTATCATGAAAATTACTGTAATTGTGGGAAAAATGCATTTTCCTGAAGGAATTAGTTATTAACATCTGCACGTACGAACAAATGTTTTTTGAAGATGCCTACGAGCATCTAGTTCCAGCACTAATATTCTGTATCTTAAACGTGATATTTTATCTACTGAAGGTTCCTATCTTTGATACAAGAAGGAACAACAGAAACTGTGGGAGTTTTTGTGTTAAAATATTCAGTATCATTTCAGGAGGACACTTATTTTTTTCCCTTTCTGTTAGAGTGCTTTTTAAAACGTGTCAACATCTTGACGTATAGCTTATACCCCAATGAAACAATATTAGCTTTGATAGAAAGCATTATAAAGTTTGTAGAAGTTTTTCAATGTAACAATAACAAAAAAAAAAAAAGAAACAGATTTACAATAAGAATGGGAGCATGAGATGGCGTTCTTTCAGTGTTGATTTTTGGGTTTTATTTTAAACACTTGTTTACAGTGTTTATTTTAAACACTGTTTAAGTTATGCTGTGAATGCTGTTAATGATCTTAATGATTTCATGACTGGAATGTATGATTGCAGCTGAAAACAATATGCTCACATACTGTTTTGATAAACTGCTTCTTATGTCCTTGAATTTTCATTTTACCACCAAGAGAATGCCTAGAACTTACATCAGTTTCCTAGATGATGCTGTAAGAGATGTTTCTGTTTCTCAAAATTAGCCAGTACAACACTATACCATTCTTCTGCTTTGTGATCACTTATTAAATTTTAATTATGCAACCTAGACAAAGTAACTGTCCTTCCTGTAAGTCTTTAATGGTATTGGGGGATAACTACTTTTTGGTTTTAGTTAAAAGTATCAGCAATAATCCATTGATTTGTTTATAATGGAAATAGCACTTTTATTTTTTGGAACATAAATTACGGCTCTAATAAGAGCTACTATTTTGCACTGAAGTGGCTCCTTTGGGTTGTCTGTAACAAACCCACCAATGCTGGAGGTTGGTGAGCTGCTAGTTAGTGAATAAAGAATGGAAATTAGGAAAACAAACAAACACCTATGCCCTTCCTGATTCTGGGAACCTACCTGTGGCAAAAAGGAATCTTATCTGTGTAGATCATGGCGTACTGTCCAGGTTTTGTCCATGGTGAGATTTGCCCTTCCAAGAGTACAGTAATCAACCCTTCATTGGTACGAGGTTGAACTTCCTGGTTTGCACATCAGGATCCACTGAGACCGTTAAACTCAATATTTCCAATTTAATATTGGAGTGAGTTCTTACAAACGACGCCCAGTAGGTATCGTTAAAGGCCACGTGTATTAACGTCACTGTATGTGCTCAAGCTAGATAGTGGGCTGCTAGAGTGAGCTCATGTATGGATGGCTACTGCCAAGGTCTGTACTTAAACTGCCCACATTCTGCTTCAATTCCTCTTGCTACAGTGTCTTCTGTAGTGGCTGCCCACAACTTTGCATTTATAGTTACGCCAGCACTTCAGTGTGAAAGAATGCTGTTCTTCTGCCCAAGTAATAAAAGTAAGCTGGCTGATTTTAATACAGAAAAAAAACCCACTTCTAAAACGAGAATTTCAAATGGGCACTTTACACTTCAGGATCAGTAACACTGTCAGCAGCATTTTCATGGACAAAACAGTGCAGTTCAGAAGAGGACTATCCATGCTGTTTTCCATAGCTCAAGTCTAAACATGGTTTGAAAAGTGTGTTTTAAAGCATCATTGCACCCCACTGCCAACTAGCAGGTTGAGTGAGCACCTACCAACTGAATGTGTTGGTGCTCTTCAAAGAAGTTGTCATAGCCTTGCTCTGACAAGACATAACATGAACTCTAGTCTGTAAATATACTACTGATGTTCAAAGATACAAATATCTTAA